AGATAGATACATGGATAGATGGATGGATGAGATAGGGATGGATGGATGGATGGATGAATGGATAAGATGAGAGAGAGATTAGAGATAGATAGATAGATAGATAGATAGATAGATATATAGATAGATAGATAGATAGATAGATATAGTGTGTGTGTGTGTAAGAGAGATGAAGGGAGATGATACAGACAACATACAGACAGATTTAACCATAGTTTCAATTGGGAAAATGTGATAATCCAAAAATGCCAGGGAATTTCTAGAACCTTGCCACTCTGACAATCAGCCATTAATAGACACATAGACACTAACAACACCTATAACTATGCAAGAGAGATCATCAACCAGCCCAAAAGAGAGCAAAAAGACTCCAGCACTTTTCCACCATAGCACCCAGATCACCATGGATCAACGCCAAGGTCAGACCATCAGACCAACAATCAAGTAAAAATACCCCAATCAAGAAAAGCACCAAAGAGGCAACAGTAAACAGCCCGACCAAAGAATCTCTAAGACTGTCCCCACCCACACAGATAGCCAAGACACAAAAATATAAACTGACAGCAAACTGCACTCCATACTAGCACTGATGATGTTACCTAGTTGGGTAATGAAACGTCTGCAAGAAAACAAGCCAGGTCAGAGAGCACCAAGGACCCTTAATTTCAACCCTGAGCTACAAATATTCTACTTTATTAGAGAGGGAGATGATAGATAGATAGATAGATAGAGAGAGAGAGAGAGAGAGAGAGAGAGATAGAGAGTAGATAGATAGAGTAGATAGATGATAGATAGATAGATAGATAGATAGATAGATAGATAGATAGAGTAGACAGAGTAGACAGATAGATAGATAGATATAGATAGATAGATAGAGATAGAGAGAGAGAGAGAGAGAGAGATAGATAGATACAGTAGGTAGATAGATAGATAGATAGATAGATAGATAGAGTAGACAGAGTAGATAGATAGATATAGATAGATAGATAGAGATAGATAGATAGAGAGTAGAGAGATAGATAGATACAGTAGATAGATAGATAGATAGATAGATAGATAGATAGATAGATAGATAGATAGAGTAGACAGAGTAGACAGATAGATATAGATAGATAGATAGAGATAGATAGATAGATAGAGAGAGAGAGAGTAGAGAGATAGATACAGTAGATAGATAGATAGATACAGTAGATAGATAGATAGATAGATAGATAGATAGATAGATAGATAGATAGATAGATAGATAGATGATAGATAGATAGGTAGGTAGGTAGAATAGATAGATAGATAGATAGATAGATAGATAGATAGATAGATAGATAGATAGATAGAGTAGACAGAGTAGATAGATAGATAGATATAGATAGATATAGAGAGAGAGAGAGAGAGTAGAGAGATAGATAGATACAGTAGATAGATAGATAGATGAGAGTAGAGAGATAGATAGAGTAGATAGAGTAGATAGATAGATAGATAGATAGATAGATAGATAGACAGATAGATAATGAGATAGATAAGAGATGATAGGAGAGAAGGAGGGAGAGGAGAGAGAGATGTCGAATTCTGGGAACTGAAGTTCACCCATCTTAACACAGATAAGGTTAAAAACCCCTGATCTAACTCCCTGCTTGGGGCAGAAATCTAAGATAAGACATAGATACCTTCAACAGATGCTTGATTAGACTTCATTTGAACCCAGCCAACAATGGAGGCCTACTCCTGGATTCCATTGTGTTTATAGGTTGGGAAATGTTCCTAAATTCAAGTAGAACTGGCCTCTAAAATTCCATGTCCTACACTCTGGATTGAGAAAGAAACAGTCTTTGAAGGCCTTCTGTGTGACCTTCTTATACAAAGACCTGAGAAGGACCATCGTCTTCGTATCTTGGTCATCTTCCCTCAGGGCTAAACCTGTCCTTTGGTGGGTCTGTTCTAATCGCGTAACCATCATCCTTGCCCTCAGCAGTGGGATCCTACCAGTTCCACTACTGGTTCGGTGGTTGTGTGCGCGCGCGCACACCTAAAAGCGCAGGGGCGGGTTTTCTTTGGTCAACTCATAAAATATTTCTATGGGTCTTTTTAGAGTTGCCAACAGAAAGGGGGGGGAAGGGGTTTGAAAGAGCAGTGCGGCAGCTTGGAAACCGAAAGTGCATTCCATAAATAGTTTTTCAAAGATAGTAACTCGGTGACTGAAGTTTCTGCTGCACAAAATTTTAACTGGAGAACATGATTGATGACTCTAGGCTATGGAGGTGTCCCATTGGAGGATATGAATTACGATACACCCAGAGGAGTGGAGGAGAAACCAGGGTCAAGGGTGACAATGAATGATGTGTTTCAGAGTCGGCTACATCAAGGCAGTGCCGGATATGTTAATTCCCAATAAATCCTTTTGAAGTTTTGGAAGTTTGGCTCAAGACTCATGATTTAAATGGGGGGTGACTGCCGGAATCCTGACAGCTAGCCGACTCTGAGACACATAATTGTCACCCTTGACCCTGGTTTTCCCCCACCCCTCGAGTGTATCATAATTCATATCCTCCAATGGGACACATCCATAGCCCAGAGTCATCAATCATGTTCTCCAGTTAGAATTTTGCATGGCAGAAACTTCTGTCACCTAGTTACTATCTTTGAAAACATTTATGGAACTCAATTTCGGTTCGCAAGCTGCCGCACTGCTCCCCCCTCCCTTTCTGTTGGCAACTCTAAAAAGACCATAGAAATATTTTATGAGTTGACATTGTTCTCTTCTCAGATGATTGTCTGAGGCTTTTTTCACTCCTCTCAGCTGATCGTCTTACCAGTTCGGCCAAACCGATCCAAACCGGTTCCATAACACCACTGCTTGTCCTTCTCTGGACTTCCCTAAATTCTTCTCAAGGCCGGGTCCGCCAGGGACGATGGCTTTGGTGGCCACCAACCCCACCTCGAAGCCGATGGCCGATTCCTACTTCTCCGTTTCCAAATCCGTAACCTGAATCGTTCAGAGATTCCTTGGATCCTTACAAGAAAAGGGAAATCACTCCCTGCGTTTTTGCAAACCCACAACATTCCAACTTTAATTTGGTAACGTGGCCAAGAGAACGGGGAGAGGGTGGGGGGGCCAACCGCTCTATCCCGACCTAGGATTGGCTTTGCCAAATACAGAAATCAAGAGCCAGAAGAGTCTGATGAACCCAGAAATAAAATGTAACCCTGCCGGCGGCTTTTTTTTATAACCCTGGTTGTTAAAGCAGGGTTACACTTTCTGCAAAGCTGGACGGAGTGATTTCTGCTGGACGGCAAGAGAACGCAACGCTGCTCCAGCTGCCTTCATTTCGCAAGCTCCTTGATGTATTTCCATCCTTGTTGTGTGTATTCGCAGCCCTTGGTTGGGGCGATGGAAAGGGCACTTATGACCGTACGGACCCCTGCGGGGGGAAAAAAAGGAGAAACAAAGTGAGGGTTTAAATGACACGTTCAGGAATCAGCGATCCCTTTCTGCGAGCTCGGGATTTATGGGTTTGGTGCTTAAAAAGGGTAGGATACAGAAAGAAGGGAAAGAATGTAATCCGACAGGGGCGGTGGGGAGGATAAAATAAATGCATTTATAATTGCGGTAAAGAAGACTGGAAACCTTTCCTTTCCTTCCTTCCTTCCTTCTTTTCCCTTGCCCTCCCTTTCCTTCCTTTCTCCTCTTCTTTGCTTCCTTCCTTCTAACCATCCTTCTTCTCTTCCCTCTATCATCTATTTCCTTCCTTTCTCTCTTCCTTTCCTTCCTTTCTCCCTTTCTAAGCTTCCTCCCTCCATTCCTAATCCTTTCTTTCCTTCCTTATCTCCCATCTCTTTCCTTCTTCCCTCCCTTCCCTTCCTCCCTTTTCTTTCCTTCCGTTCTTTCTTCCTATCTCCCATCTCTTTCCTTCCTTCCTTATTTCCGATATCTCTTTTCCTTCCTTCCTTCCTTTTCTTTCCTCCTTCCTTCTTTTGGTTCCCTTCCTTTCTTCCTTCCTATCTCCCACCTCCTTCCTTCTCTTCCCTTCCTTCCTTATCTCCCAACTCTTTCCTTCCTTCTCCCCTCCCTTTCCTTCCTTCCATCCTATCTTCCTTCCTGTTTCCCATCTCCTTCCTTCCTTCTCTTTCCTCTCTCCCTTTCCTTTTCTTCCCTTCCTTCCTTCCTCCCTCCTCCCTCCTATCTTCCATCTTTTTCCTTCCTAGCCCAAGAGAGGTTCTGGTAATCGACCCAGATTGGATCCCGCATTTAAAACTTCCCCTGCTGTTCCCAACCTCCATCTTTCTTCTTCTGTTGAAATGTTGTTATTTTGACCTTTCATTTTTTTTGAAATGAAATAAAATTCTTAAAGAGAAGAAAAGTCACACCTCAAGAGTTAAGAGGCCGTCCCATCTGGCCATTGGCTGCTCGGCTAAACACCAAACAAAACGAACAACGACAAGTGCACGCAACCTCACACCCGTTAGCCAGGGATGGAAAGCAAAATATTTTTACTACCGGTTCTGTGGGCGTGGCTAGGTGGGAGTGACTAGGTGGGCGTGGACATGTGACTGGGTGGGCGTGGCTTTTTTGCACCCCTCCCACGCTCCATTTTTTTGGCCTCCTGGGCCTCAGGAAAACCTCCTCGGCGAAGCAGTAAGACAGCAAGGGGGATCTCAGCACAGCTGATCATCGGAACAGCTGATCGTCAGAACAGCTGATCGTCGGAACAGCTGATCATCGGGAGGAAGAAAAAAAAGAAAGACATACCTTAAGGAATGACTGGGTGGGGGAGAATGCAGTTAGCAATGTTGTGCATGCACGATAAGGACTAACTGGGCGGGGAGGGGAGGGGCGGGGCCAGCCAGGGGCACTATTTGCCAGTTCTCCGAACTGCACAGCATCGTAACAACCAGTTCTATAGAACCGGTCCAAACCAGTAGAATTCCACTCCTGCCCTTAGCCTTGGTTTTCTTAGCCACACTTTTTAACAAGGTCCTCGTGGCTGCCCCACCTTTGAAGAAACCTGCTTTAAAAAGCGGTTGCAATCCCGAGCAGGATAGTAGTATCCATCTATACTAGCCCACTGTACCTGAGTTCCAGGCATCGCAGAGGGAAAATTCAGTTTTTGGAACCGCTGGAAGCTGCAGAAACGAAAGACAAAAAAATAGACTTGAGATATTTGCCAGGAAAGGGTTAGGTCTGAGCGAAGGTGGAGAGAGAGAGTGCGGTCGTAAGGACCAGTCTCTCTCCCCCCTTCTTCAAAAATAAGTATGAACTCTTGAAAACTTTGTATTTCAAAAGGAATCTTTTATTGAAGAGGGAAAAAGCAAGTCAAAATTCAAAGCAGGGTCTGATATCCCTCAGGGCGTGCAACTCAGATAAAGGGAATTAGAACCCCTCCCCGTAGTCCGATGTGGATTCCACCAATCCACAGGTGCAAGCATGTAATTTTCCCCTCGTCTCCGAGAAAGCAGCTAAGGAAAGGTTTCCCAGGAATTTTCTTCTGGTGTTGGAATCTATATGGCCCCTAATCTCTTACAGTCTGAGAATGTTCCAGGCATCTGGGGCTCCAGGTTAACGGTTATAAATCGCGGAAAAGGTTATACAGATTCAATGCAAGAATTAAGATATTTAGGTTGCATCGAACGGAAAAAGAATGAACTGTATCAAAACCACCCCCGGCCCGTTTTTCTTCCACCAAAAAAAAGGGCAGATACACGGATAGGACAGCGTTCAAATTCTACCGATTTCGCAAGGAGAAAAGAACAACGTAAAGCTATTGCAAAAGATTCCACTAATAGAGAAACTTTACAAAGGGCTTTTCAAACTTGGCAACTTGAGGACTTGTGGGACTTCATGGCTGGCTGTGGAATTCTGGGAGTTGAAGTCCCACAGGTCCTCAAGTTGCCAAAGTTGGAGAGCCCTAATCTATAATATACAGGTAGTCCTCGACTTACAACAGTTCACTTAGTGACCGTTCAAAGTTACAACAGCTCTGAAAAAAAGGGACTAAGGACCATTTTTTATGGTTACAATCTTTGCAGCCTCCCCTTGGGTCATGGCAATCCCAATTCAGATGCTTAGCGATTGGTTCATACTTACGACGGTTGCGGTCTCCCAAGGTCACGTGATCCCCCCTTGCGACCTTCTGACAAGGAAAGTGTAATAGGGAAGCCTGATTCACTTAACAACCGGGTTACGCACTGATCAACTGCAGTGATTCACTTAACAACCATGGTAAGAAAGATCGTAAAATGGGGCCAAACTCACTTAACCAATGTCTCACTCAACAACAGACATTTGGGGCTCAGTTGTGGTCATAAGCTGAGGACTCCCTGTATATGCCAAGCACTGAAAAATGATCCCATGACTCTGGGAATGCTGCAACGGTCATAAGTGTGAGAACCAGTCCTAGGTCACTTTTTTCAGTGCTGTTGTAAAGTTTGAACAGTCATAAATGAACAGCTGTAAGGACTACTTGTATTCGAATACAGGTCATCCTCAAGTTACAACCATCCTTGAGGCCAAAATTTATGCTGCTAAGTCAGACATTTGTTAAGTGAGTTGTGCCCTGTTTTATACCTTTCTTGGCACAGTTGTTAAGCGAATCATTGCAGTTTAGTCAGTCACATGGTTGTTAAGTGAATCTACTTCCCCACTGTCAAGAGTGTTTGCATGTAACTGCCAGGATTCCGGCAGTTACCCCCATTTAAATCACGAGTCTTGAGCTAAACTTCCAAAATTTGAAAAGGATTTATTGGGAATTAAACTGTCCAGCATTACCTGGGTATAGCCAACTCTGAAACACATCATTCATTGTCACCCTTGACCCTGGTTTTCCTCCCCACCCCTCTGGGTGCATCATAATTCATATTCTCCAATGGGACACCTCCATAGCCCAGAGTCATCAATCATACTCTCCAGCTAGAATTTTGCAAAGCAGAAACTTCAGTCACCTAGTTATTATCTTTGAAAGCATTTATGGAATGCAGTTTCGGTTTTTCAAGCTGTCGCACTGCTCCCCCCCTCCCTTTCCGTTGGCAACTCTAAAAAGACCACCGAAATATTTTATGAGTTAACAGTGACTACTATTTGTAAGACAAGTCAGGAGCGAAACACAGCACAGAGGCTCTGCCTTTTAACAGTGGTTTATATACAAGACTGCTATGTAACACATACACATATTAGCCACATACCAGGCAAGCAATCGATTTTCAACTCTACACGGAGAACTACAATGGAGATAGAACTCGAGGAGAGATACGTCCTCTCATGGCCACATTTATATATACAGCTTCTTAAAGTGGTAAACCCCTGTGGACCCACCCTCAGTCTTAAAGCGGCAATAACCATGCTGATTCATCCTCATTGCACCAGCCTTACAGCAGCTGGTCAGCTATTAAATCTCAATACCTTGACACCCACTGACTTTGAGGTCGCAAAAGGGGAATCGCGTGACCCCGGGGACGCTGCAACCGTCGTAAATACCAACCAGTTGCTAAGATTCTGAATTTGGATCACGTGACCACGGGGATGCTGCAAAGGGTCGTAAGTGTGAAAAAAACGGTCCTAAGTCAATTTTTTTTTCCAGCGCCGTTGTAACTTTGAGCGGTCACTACACGAACTGTGGTTAAATCGAGGACTGCCTGTACTTCCTACCTTGCACCTCCCTTTGGGGACCCCACTCCTATGTAGACGGCAGCCCCCCCATCTGACCCCCCGAGGTCCATCCACGACCTGTGTCAGGCCTGAAGATGACCAGAGGGGATGCTCTGGGCTCACCTGCCAACCGAAATACTTTGTCCATTCTTCCACCGCCGGAGTAACAGCTGCTTTGGCTTTGTGGAGGGCATGGGCGCCTTTATCGCTGCTCCCCAGCAGCCCCTGGGAGTAAACCAGGTAAAGGGCACCGCCGGCCAGTCCTGCTTTGGCCGTCAACCTGAGTAAGAAAAATATAAAAGGCCCTTTAGCAATAGCACTTACATACCGCTTTCACAGTGCCAAGCGGTTTACAGAGTCATCCTGTGGCCCCCCAACAATCTTGGGTCCTTGTTTTACCGACCTCAGAAGGAGTCAATCCTGAGCCGGTCAGGATCGAAGTGATGACAGTGGGCAGTCAGCCTCCAATACTGCATTCCCACCACTGTGCTACCACACGGTCTTTTCCTTTTCCTTCTCTTCCCTTCCACTTAGCATTTATATTTATCTGCCGCTTTACAGTGCTTTTACAGCCCTCTCTAAGTGGTTTACAGAGTCAGCCTCTTGCCCCCAACAATCTGGGTCCTCATTTGACTGACCTCGGAAGGACGGAAGGCTGAGTCAACCTTGAGCCTGGTGAGATTTGAACTGCCAAACTGCAGTCCACTGGCGGTCAGCAGAAGTAGCCTGCAGTACCGCACTCTGACCACTGGACCACCGCAGCTCAACATACGTACCTTTTAGAGGTATGTTCAGGGGGGGATATAAAGACCTACAAGAAGACCCCCTCCCCAAAACCCTTCTGTCTACAGCTGCCAAACGGCCGAATATTTTCATATAAAAGAAGGGAGGCCATGACGTTGTACAGGCTGTCGTCGACTTACAACAGTTCACTTAATGACCATTCCAAGTTGCAACAGCGCTGCAAAAAAAAAGACTTGCGACCTTTTTTTTTTCACACTTATGACCCTTGTAGCATGATTTCTGGGAGTCGAAGCCCACACATTACAGCGGCCAAGACTGACCTAATCAATAGCAATAGAGGTAGTCCTCAACTTAGAACAGTTCATTTAGTTCAGCGAGTGATGCAGTGGCCTAGAGGTGAAGCTCTTGCCTCACAATCAGGAGGCTGTGAGTTCGATCCTAGGTAGCGGCAGATATTTCTCTCTCTGGGCACAATGGGAGTATATCTGCTGCCAACTCTGCACTGGTGACAGGAAGGGCATCTGGCCAGTCAGCTCCACTCAGTTGCCCCAACTCCACCCCATGTAAGGGGTCATTAAAAGAAAAAAGAAAAATTAGTGACTGAAAACAGTGACTTATGACCATTTTTCACACGTATGTCCGTGGTAGCATCCTTATAGTCATGAGGTAAAAATTTGGACACAGAACAACCGGGTTCCTATTTATGACAGTAGTGGTGCCCTGGGATCACATGATCCCCTTTTGGGACCTTACTGACAAGCCGAGTCAAAATGGGGAAGCCCGATTCACTTAACAACCACGTTCCTAACTTAACAACGGTGAGCCACAAAAGCCTGTAACATTGGGGCAAAGTTCACTTAACTGACGATTAACTCAGCAGCCAACATTTGGGGCTCCATGGTAGTCGTAAGACGAGGACTAATAATTGGTTGGTACAAAATGCAGCGGCCCGCATGGTTTTATGCAGACCCAGGTGTGCACATGTATCACCTCTCCCGCAGGAGCTGCATTGGCTGCCAATTTGCTTCCGGGTGGCAATTCAAGGTGCTAGTTGTCACCTTGAAAGCCCTTCATGGCTTGGGTCCGGGTTACCTGAGGAAACATCTCTTGCCAGTGACATCTACCTGACCTATTAGAGCGAGGAGGCAGGGAATGCTGCGGGCCCCACCCCTGAGGGAGATACACCTGGTGGGACCCAGAGGAAGGGCCTTCTCCGTGGTGGCTCCATCTCTCTGGAACATCATTCCCCCAGAGATTAAAATGGCCCCTTCACTAAATATTCTTCCGAAAGGCACTGAAGACCTGGTTCTGCCAGCGGGCCTGGGGAACCCAGAGAGGGATGGAACCCCTCAAATGGCTAGTGTGATCTGCTGTCATCGGGGCAGGGGGGGGGTAGGAGTTGGTTCTCCGCCCCCCACCCCCCCAAATTTTGTTCTATGGTACTTTACTAATTTATTTGATTCTTTGTGTTAGTTGTTTTTATTTTTATTTTTTGTTTTAAATATGATTTTACATTGTGTAAGCCGCCTCGAGTCGCCATGGACGAATAGGCGGCAATATAAATCAAATCAAATCAATAAATACATTGGCTAGGGATTGAATGGGACGCAAGTGGGATGAGAGGTAAAGGGAAACAGGGCAATTTTGCCGAACGTTTTGCAACAAATATTTTTTCTAAAGGTCTCCCTATGGGGCAGGGGATGGTAGGGGCAAAAAAATTCCCTCCTTCCAGATACCTACAGATGAGAATGCGATTAGGAAAATACGAGAATGTGCGGAAATCAACATTGGCAATTAAGGAGAAAGAGCAAACTGAGCAAACTACATGAGATGGGATTTATTCTATCAATGGTTAAATAATAAAAATGGAAGTTAGAAATAGGGAAACAAAATAAAAGATGATGTGTTAAAAGAGATGTTAGTTTAGTTTTTTTTAGTTTTATTGTCATTGCACCTCGTACAACGAAATCAAACACCATCTTCAGTGCACATCATGACCATGAAATTAAACACAAACATACATCCTTCACACTCCATACTATTATGTTAATATTGTATAATCAATTAGTATAATTAATAGGTGGATATTACTGGGTTAAATATTACAGAGTTCATACATAACGAAGGATGTTGTAATTTTGATGATCGTTTAACAAAGATGTTTGTATCCAGACAACACACTATTCAACTGAAGATGGAAAGATTGTATTAAAAATAAAAATATTTAAAAGAAAAAGAAAAGAATAATTCCCTCCTTCCCTCCGGGATCTTAAGGAAAGGAAAACCAGAATCAGAATAAAGCTGGAAGGGACCTTGGAGGTCTTCTAGTCCAGCCCCCTGGACTAGTTCTGCTCAAGCAGAAAATCCTATACCATTCTATACTGGGCTGGACTAGAAGACCTCCAAGGTTCTCTACTATTACTATCACTATACCTATTGTTATACCACCCTATACCAGGAATATCTTGAGAATCCCTTGCAAAGCTTCCGTGCATTTGGGTTACCTAAATAAAACGAATCTGCTGTATTTCTGCAAACGGAATTATGACATGCGATGATGGGGAGGGCAGGTTGGAGGGAGCGGCTCAGCCGATCTACGGGCTTCCAGATCGTGAGGATCCCCGGGACCCGAAACTGGGGAAGGGAGGGTGGGGGGTTCCCGTCTCTGGCTCTTCCCCCTCCGCGGCCCCGTTTCCTTTCTGTGCCGTTACAAAACCACCTTTTAAGCCCGCCCGACTCACTTGACCAAAGGGAACGTGCGGGGCGCCATGACGGACCGATGCCTCTTCCAAGGGCAGCCCTTGCGCCCGACCGCGCCGTTTCCTGCGAGGGACCGCCCCCCCCCTCCTCCTCTCGCGGGACCTTTCGGGAATTGTAGGCTTGAATGGCGAGGAGGATGACGCGGAGGCCGCCGGGGTTGCCTAGGCAACGCTGGGAGATGGCCGGCGCCTCGACTCTCCAACCCGGCATAGTCTCCAAACTATGCCGTGTTAGCTCTTTAGGGAACGCAGCTTGGTTCATACCACGGACTAAACCTGGGTTGGGTCGGCTGAGGGTTTAGTGAGTCGTGGGAACCCTGCCTTGTCTTAGCGTGGGCGTGAGATACGCCATCAGTTGATTTGTGTATGTTTATCACTGTTTCTGTAACTTAACCAAACTGGTTTAATGAATGAATAAATCTTATTTAAATAAATCTCATATAGATTCAGATAATCAATAAATCTTATTAAATTCCTGTAAAGACCGATCAGTGATGAGGGCACAACCAGGTTCTTGCATACAGGTAGTCCTCGACTTAACGACCACAACTGAATGCCCAAAACTTCCGTAGCTAAGCAAGACAGGTGTTAAATGAGTTGTGCCTCATTTTATGACATCTTTTGCAACAGTTGTTAAGTGAAACACTGCAGCTGTTAAGTGAATCGTGCAGTCGTTAAGCGAATCTAGCTTCTATTGACTTTGCTTGTCAGAAGGTTGCAAAAGGGGAGCACCTGACTCCAAGCCACTGCCATCGTCATAAGTATGAGTCAGTTGCCAAGCATCTGAATTTTGATACCGTGCCCATGGGGATGCTGCAATGGTTGTAAGTGTGAAAACCGGTTTATGTCACTTTTCCCAATGCCGTTGTAACTTCAAAGGGTCACTAAATAAATAATTGTAAGTTGAGGACTATCTGTACAAGTAATCCTTGACCTACGACCATAATTAGAGCTTGCTTTGTCAGGGCTCTGACAAATCCAACCCCATTCAAATCATGTCTCTAGCCGTATCTCTCTGAGTTAAAAAAAATTGATTTAATAGTGACCATGTCGGCATTACATAGGTGCAGCCGACACTAAATTACATCATTCATTTCCCCCTTGACCCTGGTCTTTCCCCAGCCCCTGGGTGTATATTCTCCAATGGGACACATCCATAATCAATAATGCTCTCCAGTAATAATCTTGCATGCCAACAGCTTTGGCTACCTAGCAATTATCTGAAGCATTTAAGGAATGCACTACTTTCCCCCACTCCCTTTTCTGCTGGCAGCTAAAAAGACCAAAGGAGTATTTTTTAGTTGACATCCTTATTATGGCTGCATGTTATGAAAATCATAAAATAGGTCTATTGTGTGACTAACTGATTTTACGACAGTTTTTGTCATGGCCATTAAGTGAACCACGGGGTCCAGTAAGTAAACCATTGATTCTCTATGGGTGCAATTTCCCCCAAAACTGGAAATCAGTGCCTGTTTTCAGGAAAAAAAAATGTTGTAAAAACTGGTCACGTGTGCAAATGGCAGTAAAATGCAGCCTTGTTGCCAAGCGGCCAATGTTCAGTAATGTGACTGTTAAAAATTTGAATCTAGTTCCCCTTTCTTGGATCGGTCGTAACTTTGAACAGTTTTTCTTTCTTCTAGGATGGGGGGTGTCCAACTTGAGTAACTTTCAGAGTTGGAAGGGTTCTTGGAGGTCTTCTAGTCCAGGATTCTCCAACCTTGGTCACTTTATGACTTGTGGACTTCAACTCCCAGAATTCCTCCTCTAGTCACGTTAGCTCAGAAATTCTGGGCGTTGAAGTCCACAAGTCTTAAACTTGCCAAGTTTGAAGAGCCTTGCCCTATACCATTTCAGAGAAGTGGCTGTCCTGTCTCTTCTTTAAAAAGAAAAGAAAAACCTCTAGTGTTGGAGGATCCACAACTTCTGGTGGCACGCTGTTCCACAGATGAATGGAAAACTGAAAAACCCTTATGCTAAATGCTGGCGAGGGCAGGGAGTTTTAAAATCGAAGCAAAGAAAAAAAGAATTTCCCAGTCTGGATTTATTCAAATAATTTCCACTTTATTTCAAGAAAAGTCATCAGATTGTTAAGACCACAGCAAGAAGCTGGACGCCAGATGAATTCTGGAAAGATTGCCACCTGCAAATATTTGAAACCATTGCAGTTCATAACTTAAAATGGAAGCAGGGAAGAGAAGGGAGGGCCAGGGGAGAACTCATTTCAACATGTGCTTATTTTTCCTCTTCATTTTCTCCGACCGTGTTTGAAATGTCCTTTTCAAGTCAGCAAATGGGGTGGGTGGGGTAGGAGTGGGGAATTATAGGTGGGTATATAGATATAGATTTATATTTTATTTTTTTAAAATTCAAAATTAAAAGTTCGGCCATCATGAAAGTACTCCATAGCAGAATAGAACGACATTGTACAAATCACGTACGGAATTGACGGTTAAGTATAAAAGACCTGTATTTACAACTGTAAACGTGGACTTCAGGGAAGAAAGAAACAGAACACAAGCAATCGTGTACACCATTCACACAACCTCTCTCGCTCCCTTTTCGTGTGTCGCAAAACTGAGCGGCCAAATTAGACACATCGCTCGCCTCCAGTTGGATCTAGTAAACAGACGTAATGGATCTGGTGTGTACTGACTTGCAGTGGGGGCATTCTCACTGAGATCTAGCAACTTGGCAGAATTTAACCCTTTTTGGGCATTTCCTTCAGTAGGGTGCACAGAAGCCATCAGCTATTTTTTCTTGTGACTAGAAATCATTTCCTTCACAAAACCCAGGTTTGGGCAATACAGTAAGCTGCTCCTATGTTGGTTGAATTGTGGTTTAAAGAATCAATTGCAATCTGTTGAATCCAAACAGCCCAATAAGCTAGAAAGGATGGGATTACAAGCCACCAAGCTGGGTTTCTACACCTCACATTTTTTTACAACCACACATTTTTTTTTGCATGAACAGATTAACATTTAACTGCTGTTGGGATTTTTTAACTGGCATATATTTTGAGTGAGCATTGCCAATTTTTTCCCCATTTTGCAAATTCAAGTATCTCATTGCTGTTAGAGTGTGATCAACAATTTGACTTTTAAGTTGATCCATAGGAATTGAATGGTTCATTATCTATCTATCTATCTATCTATCTATCTATCTATCTATCTACCTACCTACCTACCTACCTACCTACCTACCTATCATGTTTCTTCATGCATTGATAATATTACCTAGTTGGATAATGAAACATCTGCAAAAAAACCCTACTAAGCTCAGAGAGCACCAGAAACACCACTGAATGACTTTGATAAATCCAACTATATTACTACAGGTGTTATCAACTCAGAAGTAGCTTCACACCACTCAAATTCTGCCCAGCCCTTATGTAATAGAACAACAGAATAACAGAAAGGGATCTTGGAGGTCTTCTAGTCCAACCCCCTACTCAAGCATCTCAGATGGTTATGGTTATCCAATCTCTTCTTAAAAACTTCCAGTGTTGGAGCATTTACAACTTCTGGAGTCAAGCTGTTCCACTGATTAATCGTCCTCACTGTCAGGAAATTCCTCCTTAGTTCTAGGTTGCTTCTCTCCTTGATTAGTTTCCATCCGTTGCTTCTTTGTCTTGCCTTCTGGTGCTCTGGAGGATAGCTTGACTCCCTCTTCTTTGGGGCAGCCCCTGAGATACTAGAAGACTGCTATCATGTCTCCCCTAGTCCTTCTTTTCATTAAACGAGACCTATCCAGTTCCAGCAACCGTTCTTTATATGTTTTAGCCTCCAGTCCCCTAATCGTCTTTATTACTCTTCTCTGAACTCTTTCTAGAGTCTCAACATCACTTTTATATTGTGGCGACCAAAACTGGATTCAGCATTCAAAGTGTGGCCTTACTAAGGCATTATAAAGTGGTATGTATAGAAGGGTAGGTTTTTCTATTCATGGATGTTTGACGCAAACCAAAATACTTGTGATGATGATGATGATGTTAATGAAGAAGAAGAAAAAGAAGAATATGATGATAATATATAATAATATAATCGCTGTACCAGGAGACACCAGAGTCGAAGAAAAAGAACCGGGGAAAAATCACGAAATATCGTGACCTGGCCATCGAAACTACGCAATTATGGATGAAACGTGTAACAGTAATACCCATTGCCATTGGGGCACTCGGTGCCATGTCCAAGAATTTTACAAAATTCATCAAGAAATTGCAGCTTCTTGCAATAACACCAGTGGAACTGCAAAAAAAAAAACTATGCTACTTGGAACATCGTACATTTTAAGAAGATACTTGGTTGATATTTAGGATGCTGGCAGCAACTTGTATTAACCATCAGCGCCAATCAATATTTGTGATACATTTTTAAATGTTCATTTGGCTGAGTTTCATGTCATGAATAAAAGAGATGATGATGATAATAATAATAATAATAATAATAATAATAATAATAATAATAATAATAGATGTGGCAGTGGTGCCTGGAGATAGGAGAAGAGAAGAGAAGAGAAGAGAAGAGAAGAGAAGAGAAGAGAAGA